GAGAAAGTGAATATAATCTCTTTATTAAACTAATATTTTGACAATATAACCCTCAAGTTACGACTGACTCCCTAGCAACGGAATAACAACTCCTGATGTCATCGGCAATGACGGTGGCGCATCGTATTAGTGGTGAACGATCCGCCGAGTTTTCAAGCAAGTGACAGCGATAACCGCACACTTCATGTTGTATTCCTACGAAGGTTTTGTGGGTTGCCCATCTAGAAACTGTATGTTTTTATTGTCCTAGGGCTGCTAACTCGAGTTAACCATACCTGTGCTTCGTTTAACGGACCTGGTCTGTTAAACGCCATTTAGCTTCCCTCAAGACAGCTATAGTAGGCGCTACCTAACGGGCCTGAATGACGAAAATAACTATTTTAGACCTCGTCCGTACGTGTATATGTGTGCACGTATGTAACAAAGTTTTTCTTCAATTGTTCGCTAATGAATGGATAGAATTGAATCTTTTTTTTCAAATATGGGTATTGTTGAGCCCTATCAATTGCCATTAATTAAAATTTAATTCATCGATTAGTTTTTTTAAGTTTCTAATTTTTTCGAAAATTAGTTGTCCTACAATAAGTAAAAAAAAATGTTCTGAATTGATTCAATGATGGCTTCAAAAATTTGTTTGGATGTCCTTTTGACCGAGTTCGAAGATAAAGGTCATAGCAATAATCGATATTTCGATTTATTTGAAAATTTACAAAAATTTTGTCTTTTTTGAAAATTAGAATTCCGGGGATATCTTTGAATATATCATGCTTCAAATGAATTCGATCGCAGATTTAAATGTTAGTTTTAATGTCACTAAGTCGAAATTAAAAGATGATTACGATAGTTATATTGGTTGGTTTGATTCTTGCCTCGTTTTCCGGGAAGTTAGGTAACTTCATTGACAACTCCGGAAAAGTAGAATGAATATCGTTATCCCATAAATAATCGGCGTCACAGAGATTCTTCTGACATTTTTCGAACGGGAGTTCCGCAAGGATGACACGTAATATTGAAAGTTTAGGGATATTCGAAATGACTTCGTACAAAACGGATGCATAAATTGAACATCAATCTACACGATGTTGAATTTTAAAACTTTTGATGTATACTCATTCTTTATTCATTCATTTCTTTAATCAGGCTTTAGGCTAAAGGTCACTCGCACCCAATAATTAATTTATGTCAGACAGTCTTTCCCTACACACAGAAAACGCTGTGCAGACTATCCGCATAAGGGTGCAGATAATCTGCATAGTTATGCGGGATTCACACATAAGCCGAAGTCACTCTCTTATGTGCAAATCATGCATAAATAGTGCGTGAATCATGCATAGTTATGCAGATTATCCGCATAGCTATGCATGAAATACACAATTTTTATGCGGATTATCTGCACATCTATGCGTACTTTCCGCACAGATTTGGCATGATTTACACATAAGGGCAAAATTTTGATGAGGATACGTCTATGTTTTCGTTATGAGGAGTCGTTTTGTGAAATTGAGCTTACAGGTCTAGATTTTTCTAGAAAATTCAAGGGACTTCAGGGAGTTTCTAGAAATTTCGAAAGAATTCAAGGAGTTTCTAGAAAATTCTAAAATGTTCAAGAAATTTTTAGAAAATTCAAGAAAATGCATGGAGTTTCTAGAAATTTCGAGGGAATTCAAGGAGCTTTGAGAAATTTCGAGGGAATCAAGAAATTTCTAGAAAATTCGAGGAAATTCAAAGAGTTTCTAGAAATTTCGTTGGAATTCTAGGAGTTTCTAAAAATTCCGAGGGAATTGAGAAACTTCTACAAATTTCGAGGAAATTCAGGGATTCTTAGAAAATTTTAGGGAATGCAAGGAGTTTTTAGAAATTTCGAGAAAATTTAAGGAGTTTCTAGAAAATTCAAGGAAATGCAAGAAGATTCTAGAAATTTCGAGAAAAATCAGGGAGTTTCTGGAAATTTTAAGTGAATTCAAGGAGTTTCTAGAAACTCTGAAGAAATTCCCGGAATTGCTAAAAAATTGAATAAAATTCTTAGGTGTTCTGGAAATTTGAATAAAATTTGAGTTTTCCAAAATAATCGAGGAATTTCTAAAGTTTTAAACAACATTCAGAAAAAAAATTTTTAAGGGGAGACCGCGGTGAAATTTGAAAGTCTCGACTCGGCCTCAACAGCCATTGGATGACTTTTGATATATGAAGGGATATATAAAAAAAAGTGAGAAAAATTTCGGACTCGAACCGTTTTGCCCCGTATATCCACCAAAAACGTCATTTTTCACGTTTTTAGCTTAAAAAGGCTCCTTGGACCACAGTTTTCATCCGATTACAACTTTTTTTTTTTTAATGTTCGTTATACTCCAACGAAAAAACCCAAGTATCCGTTTTACTTTATATTTATTAGATGATGAGAAAATGTTTTTTTTACTTTTTATTTTTTTTCCTCTTTTTAGCAAATGCTAAAATTCGTTGTTTTCCCCCATTTTTTTTGTTATAATATTTCGATTACATATGATTACAACGTGANTGGGTTTGTTCGTTGGAGTATAGCAAACATTTTTTAAAAAAGTTGAAATCCGATGAAAACTGTGGTACAAGGGGCATTTCTAAGCTAAAAACGTGAAAAACAACGTTTTTGATGGATATACGAAGAAAATGAATTCTTACTTTTTCACGTTTCAGCCATGTTCTCATTTAAACCATTGAAATGCAACCTGAGAAATAACTCTCATACCACTCAGGAGAAAAAAATTAGCGAAAAAATCCCCGTAATTGACTTTTTTGACCTTGCGTTTTTATGTGGAACTGCATCAATAGAATATTTTCTATTTAACAATTCAAAAGAACTGTCTAGCAAATTTGCGAGGATTTTCTACTAAATTTTTTCGTGCGTACTTATTTTCTTCAACTTATTTACCTTTTATAGGAGAGGCTGAGACAAACTGAAACCTTAGCTACCCACAGCGTGATGAAGAGTCGAAACTAATACAACAAACAGCGCTCTTTCATTTTCCTCTACTGTTCTATTTTGTCCCATTATCCCCTTAAATTATTGATTTAGAATTTACAATTTTTTCTTGCTTTCTCTATGAAATTCCGAATTGTTGAAGTCGCAATTCGTTAAAGTTTCAGTGAGTAATGGCTTTTTTTTTCTGCGGAACTCTTATAGGCGGAACATGCATAAATAGTGCAGATAATCTGCAATTGGTTACTAGCAGATTTCATGCATACTTTATGCATATTTCATGCATAGCTATGCAGACTTTACACATAGTGGGAGGTTCGCGGAGCTTATGTGTAAAACCTGCATAAGATAATACAGTAACTGGTGATGATTGAAGGTGTAAGTGATGGTAACTTTCGACAAAATAATACTTGAACTTGAAAACTTAAATCTAAAAAGAAATAAAACTGACATGGTTGTAAAACATTCTATAAAAGAGAGGAGGAAACTAAGAAGTACTATAATCGTCCAGTCATTTAAATTCTTAATTAGTAAATGTTTCTTCCATACTTATGTAAACGTTGATCATTCAAAATTATTGTAGCTCTCTAGTCATTTTTAAATAATTCCATGCCAGTAACAGATATTTGAAACTCCGTCAGACTACGGCGAAAGTAGTAGAAAGAATCTAGTCGATCTAAAATATTATTAAATTATCTCGGTTGTGGGTGATGTAAAGAAATGTTTTTGCTTACTTTACAAATTATCACCTAGTCACTAAAGAGTTGAACTTGAAAACTTAAATCTAAAAAAAAAAAAAAACTGACATGGTTGTAAAATGTTCTATAAAAGAGAGGAGGAAACTAAGAAGTACTATAATCGTCCAGTCATTTAAATTCTTAATTAGTAAATGTTTCTTCCATTCTTATGTAAACTTTGATCATTCAAAATTATTGTAGCTCCCGTCATTTTTAAATAATTCCATGCCAGTAACAGATATTTGAAACTCCGTCATACTATGGCGAAGTAGTAGAAAGAATCTAGTCGATATAAAATATTATTAAATTATCTCGGTTGTGGGTGATGGAAAAAAAATGTTTCTGCTTACTTTACGAATGATCACCTAGTCACTAAAGAGTTTAGATTCGCCGGATTTTTCCACTCTCGTACTAAGTTTATGTCACAATTTAATTAGAAATTGTCTTATTTACAATTGGTCTTTTTCGATGCTTGCCGTTTCCCAGGAAGTTTACTTTCCTTTACAGCACTAGAAAAGCTTTTGGGTGGTTGGAGAGCTGGAAAATCTTCAGTCTTCCCTGGGTTGTCGGAAATGTTCAAGAGCGTTAAATTCTTTATGAGCTGATCCGCAACTGTAGCAGTACTCTGAGTCTTCTTCTCGAGCTGATCCACGGATTTGCCATTGTCTTGCATGGAGATTGATGTGACAGCTTTGGGAGAACGGAGGGGTTCCAACGATGCCTTCGTCTAATCAATTCAAAAAACACTCATTAAATTCTTGAAATTGACAACCGATTGATTCAATTTTGTGAGAAAGTATGTTCTATTTTTTCAGTCAATGTCATTAGGCATATTGTAGAGAGATAATTACCTGGACTTCTTTCGGAGTATTGACTTCAGAGTATTGAGAACTTTCGAACTGCGCCATTTTTTGTCTCTGGTATTTTCTCCATGCTTTTTTCTCTGACTTTGATGCAACCATGAGAGTATTTAAGACATCCTTGTTCTCATTGGCTTTGTAGGGGTCGTATGTTCCTACAACAGGATCCTATAATAAAACATCGTCATTACAAAATGCTGTCTGATGGATTTTGAAGAAAAATGCTAGAATAATTCGACTGCACATGATTTGTCTTCTTGAAAAATGAACAATGGCAATTATTAGCCAACTTTGTCTGGTCAGGCATGAACATTGTGATTTTGATTCGAGCTCTTATAAATAGATTTCATTTAACCTGTCAGCACTCGCACCCTTTCACCGAGAACCGAGAACCCGAGGGGAAATTCAAATCAGGATAGAATAAGAGACTTCCCTTTAAAAACTAACTTTGATCAGTTCAGGATCAGAAATGTAACGCTTGTTTGGATCCATTCTCGGTCAAAATTCTAGGATCCGATCTTTCTGAGCAGTACCGGATTCGATACGGATCTAGTCGAGATTTGACTGACCAAAATAGGATCACAATGCACTCCGCCACATTAGATCCCGATACTCCATTCAGAATCTCATCAGATCTTGATCCGAAAGTGTAATAAATAAATTGACCAGTATTGGACCTAGAACTGATCTAGACTCAAGCCAACTCAGTGAAATTTCTACTCGGGTAGTCGCGCAGTGCGAGAATCTCTTACGCTTTGTGCACACACTAGTCAGACAGAGAGGTCCGAGCTATCCATGAGACTGATTTAGTTGCCGAGTATTACCGAGCGCTTCACGGAACGGCTCGATGCGAGGAGCCACCCGACTGACTCTAGTCGCGCCGTGGGAGAATCTCACACGCTCCTCGTTCGAGCTCAATATAGTATACTTCGTCACTAGGCCGAAAAAATTTTTTCTGGCGAATATGAGTTTGCAGCCCGAGCCGAAGGCGAGGGCTGCAATCATATGAGCTAGAAAAGTTTTTTTTGGCCGTATGACGAACAGTATTTTTTGTCATGACGGCCGTAGGCAGAGATTCACGGACGCGGAGCGGAGCGGAGCGTCCGTGAAGCACTGCCTCACGGCCGGAATGACAAAAAAATATTTTTTGATTTATTGAAACATGCTACACATTTTTTATTGACTCCAGAGGAAAGAGGGTTAGTTGCTAGAAGCATTCAAAAAGTTTCAGTCCAAAATCTATTTTTTGACTGCGCCCTATAACAATTGTGCTACCAGAAAATTGAAAACTTTCTTGATTTTTTTCGTCCCAATAAATCCATGAAACCACCAATATTTCTTGTAATTTGTTCCCTGAGGGAATTGATAAAAGAAAATAATTAGCGCCAATTATTCATAGTGAATGCCATATTTTTGTTAGCTCGAAAATCAAGGATGAACAGTCGAGCTTCATATGAAAGAATCTTCATAACAAATATTTATGTGCGAAGATGAAAAAATAAAATTCAACCTTTTCCGTTCTGTTCAACCCTTTTCCGTTTGACGCTTCCATCGTTTAACCCTTCCTTATTTGACCTTTCCCCGTTTTACCCTTCATTTGAACCTTTAGTTACAAGAAGTATTGAATCATTCGCTTAAACAATCGGGAAATGCGATCCAGACGGAGTAGCGGTTTGACAGACCACGGGGTACGGTGAATGTGTATTTTTGGAGGGGTTCAGTGTAAAGGTTAAGCAAATTGCGATTTCATTCGATAAACGATAAACTTGAAAATTGCATGATTCAAGTAACAAAATAGAGGGGGGGAAGGGGGTCTGAATTCGGTTCGTGACGGTTCGTGACCAAGGGGAGGGGGGAAGGTCGTAATGTAACGCCATATTTTCTGCTCCCATTTCTCAAATAACAAAATCAGAAATGCCATTTTTTTCTCCCTTCGTTCCATATAATTCCATGAAAAAAGGAACAAATGAAAAACATCATTATAGCGTGGGAGGATTAAAGGTTTACTAACGTAATATATAAGGAGGGTGTCGCGTTTGTGATGACTTGTGACGGAGGGGAGGAAGCTAGTCTAAAAAGTTAAAAAAATCCATGACATAATATTTGAAAGCCCCCCACTTCGCGACGTGATTCAAGTATATAATTTACTTAAGAGCATACGTCGGTGAAATTTAATTTCCAATTTCATAAATTTTTCGCGTCTCTAGAGTAGAGTAAAATTTATGAAATTCAAAATTCATTCATTCATGATCTATTGCGAATAAAGTAAAATGGATGCTTAACTTTATTCTTTGGAGTGTAACGAACATTTGAAAAAAAGCTAAAATCGTATGAAAACTTGACGGCGCAGGGAGCATTTTGAAGGTAAAAACTGGAAAAAATGAAGTTTTTCGTGGATATACGGAGCAAAATCGAAAGGGTCCGCGATTTTCCCTAGTTATTCCCATATTCCGTCACATATCACAAACTGTTCAGTGGGTCCCAAAATCCAGTGAAGACTTTTAAATTTCACCGACGTATCTCCTGTAGAAATTCGGTTTCACGCCATTTAATCCTCGAAAATTAATCCTGAACAAATTAGCACTAGTCAAAAAATCCTGGAAAATATGATCCTCAGCAATTTAATCCGGGAAAAAATCCTATACGAATAATCCCAGTGCAAAAAAAATTGTAACAAAATTTTACGCAAAAAATCGGAAAAAATGAGGAAAACTATGTCACGTAAAATACTCAACAAATTACAATCATTTATTTATGAAACGTAAACATGCAGACACGGTGCTGATATCAAACCGTGAAAAATGTTGCAAGCCCTCAATTCTAAAAAAAAACATGCACTCATGAAATATTAAGATTATTGTCCGAATCGAATCGTCAAACTCAATTAATAAAAAAACAAACATGAAAAATCAATGACGTCATAAAAAAAAATTGTTTTCAGACAGCTTAAATTGTGGAAAGCAACACGTGCACAATTCAATGATTAGTATTATAAGCGATTCCCTTGAGATACTTTAAAATATTATTTCTGTTATAACTTTTAACAACATTCAGTAGTTTAAAATCAAATTTTCTTTACAGCCGCACACAAATCCGTTCGATATTTAGACACAAATTAGACGAATTAATTTCCTGGAAAAATTAAAATGAGAGGAAAAAGAACAATCGTCACTTACAAGAAACAACTGCCACTATTCTAGAATACAATTTCCCTCAATTGAAAGTGGAAATTCAAAATATTAAACACAGAGTTATCATTTTTTGAAATTGATAGCAATATAATCGTTAAAAAAATCTCAGGATCAAATCATCCAGGATCATTTTGATCAGGATTATATTGCATCAGAATTAATTTGAGTAGGATCGTTTTTCAGGATTAAATTGTCGTGGATCCTTTTTTACCAGGATTATATGACGTGATACCTAGAAATTCAAGCAGGGGTGCGGCTGAACCTCCGCTCGCGCGTCGAACCTACCGCTGAGCCCCAGCTTGATTGTATAGCAAACGGAGATTGAGCGGAGAAATTTCCACACGGGTATCCCCTTAAGGATAATCGGGCGAGCAGGGAGGGTTGGAAAAAAAGCAGCCATTTTTTTCTTTTTTTTTTACGTATTCTTTAAATGATGGAAAAGGCGTGTGCAAAGTTTCAGACTGCTGGGAAGCATGGTTAATTTATTATGAATTTTTGAAAAAGTGGTCATTTAACCCGTGATCTTATGGAAATCACCAAAAAAACGGCAAAACCCAAGGAAAAAATGCAGCCAAAGTCATGAAACTTTATACACATTTAGAACATGTGATCAGTGATTTTTTGAGTGAAAAAGATTGTCGCCTAGGAACATTGTTTATTAATAATAGCGAAAAAAGTACTGAAAAATGAAATTTCTGCACACGCAGCCCAAACGAGCAGCAACGTCTCAAGTACCGATCGGATGGGGGTAGCGCGGTCAATTTAAACGTCTCTTGAGAGAGAGCGATGAAGCGTTGTGATTGGAGCTTCCTCGAGCCAGTGGTACCAGCTCCTGGTGAAAAAAAAACTACCGACGATGTTGCCACTTTTTCGCATGGATTAATATTTTTTCATTTATTAAAAAAAAACAATCTGAAAACCATTCAATGCGTGGAACAGATGCAAATAAACTTGATTAGCTCCAAAAATAATTTTTAACCGGAGATACTCCCTAATATTGCCTGAATTTTGGATCCGAATGGGAAAAATTTTTTTGTTTAGCGATTGGTTTTCTGCAGGAAAACAATAGAAACCCCTCCGCCTCACCTCCTACATTTCCTCCTTGCCCGATTATCCTTAATTCAAGGAGGATGACCGGGGCAAAATCGACAGCGGGGCAAAATAAGACCCGGAGCAAAATGAGACCCCTCTCCTTTTTTTTTCATTTTTCAATGAGACAAATGACTCCGGTGTTTTTTGCTTCCGAATGGAAGCATTGTATTTGTCGGATTTTGACATTCTCTAATTTTGCCTGGAAATGATGTAGAATGGTATGAAACGTAAAGAAATGATGTTTTTAGAAAATGTCTGTATGTCCGTGTCCGAGGATTCGGTTTTTGGGTGGTCACTTTTTAGAAAATATAACATGAATACGGTGAAATTTATTGATATAAATTTGAAATTTTGTCCAATAGTAGGTATTATTTTGCTCAACATTGACCTACAATTTCCGCCCGATCGGTCCAGTAGTTCCTGAGATATTCCACTTTTTGTATAAAACTATTTTGGTCAATATCTCCAAAACTATTGGACCGATTTGATTTTTTTTTTCAAAATGTCCGTCTCAATGTCTTCTATCTAGATCAATCGAAATATGTATACCCGTTCATACAAAGTTTTCGAGATATTCTCCATTTTTTATCTTTTCCTCAAATTGTTTGTTCGCACGATAACTCGAGAAAAAATTGAGATGGGAGGCTGAAATTTGGTATGATTGTAGCTCTTATAATACCAAAGGTTCGTATTGTTTCTGGGCGATATCGGTCTAGTAGTTCCTGAGATATTCCACTTTTTGTATAAAACTATTTTAGCCCCTCAAGTACGGGGTCCATACCGCGCGGTGTGTCCTCATCGGCCGGCAGCCTTCCGTCAACTCGAATTCGCTGTTCAATACGCGATAACTTCTACACCGATGATCAGAAAATTATAATCTAAAAT